ACAATTTTCATTTCATTCAGATTCTTTTTCCTAAACCGACCATGAACAAAGTTCTTTTAGGCAATAAAAATAGTGAGAACAGGTTGTTTTTGCGCACATTGGAGATCGAGACAATCGAAGGATGGAAAACATTCCTGTCTAAAAGTTCCTTTATTTTGCCCCTTTGATTTATACAGCGACGTTTAAGCCAGAATTTCGGGAGCAACTTCAGAATACCCAGCCACTTTATTTACATGTGCCGGTGGGCTTTGAAGAACGAGGTATATAACAATAGTTGCTATTCTTATTCAATGAGCTGCTAATAAGTGGCCGGGTATTCTGGAGTTTAGCCTCTGCTTCGATCGTTATGTTAATCTGTATAGAACAAACGCTTTCAGAACGAAACAATGCGGTTTCTTATCTCTTGTGGTTTTAGGTTAATGTCATATCATTCTGCTTTCGTGATCTTTCCCGAAACTCGCTTGGATAATAATGAGAAGCTTACTTGTACAACGTATGCTTCGATACTCATGATAGTCTGCATAGAACAAACTACCCTGGTCCCAGAAAAATGAAGAAAAACCTCTGGGATCAGGGTAAGAACAAACGCTTTCAGAACGAAACATTGCAGTCTGTTATCTCTTTTACTGTTATGTTAATTGCATGTAATTCCACTTTGCTTCCGCTCTCGTGTGACCTTCCCGGAAACTCGTTTAAAGATTGGAGGAGTTTTACAACAATTTAATACGCCGCGTGTTTGTAGAATGGTTGAATCATAGTTAGTGGAGTGGTGGAATATTTTCCTCGCGCTTTGTCTTCCTAAAGACAGGCGTTCGCTAAAACATCGCTGAGAGCGTTTTAGAATAAGAAGCTTACTTGTTGGATGAGTGCTTCGATACTCATGTTAATCTGCATAAAACAAACGCTTTCAGAGCGAAACTTTGCAGTTTGTTATCTCTTTTGTGGTTACCTGTGTTACGTACGTATATCTTATATCATTCTGCTGTAGTGACCTCTCTCGAAACTCGCTTGGAGGGAAGATTAGGAGAGTCAGAGCATGGTTAATAAGCGGTGTGTTCAGTGGAATGGAATATTCTCCTCCCGCTTTATCTTCTTGTAGACACATACGGTGTACGTTTAAGATCGTTTTGAATACGTAGCACGCTTGTAGAAGATAGAATAGATACTCAGTCAACAAGAAACGCTTATTTTTGTTTTTGAAGTGTATTTATTATTATTATTATTATTATTATTATTATTATTATTATTGATACAACATGAACTACAATAGGACAAGTAAAGGGGATACAAAAGATAATACAGAGGTAATGGTGTGTGTTACAAAACAAATACAAAAAAAGGAAGAGAATTACAAACTAATTCAAAGTACAACATTTTGAGTAGGAAACAATTACCAAATTAAGAATTAATTGAATTAATTAAGAATTAATTAAATTAATTAATAACTTGACTAAGTAAGTAAAATGAAAAAAAAAAGAAAAAAAAAAACTCAAATAAAGTCTTTACACTTTTTGTTGACATTTTCGGAGGTTTTATTTTCAACTGCTATTTGTTGTGAAGTGTTTAAGTTGTTCTTAAGTAAAGAAGGAATGCCGTCAAAGGGTACATCATCGCTGTCTTGGATAGTGCAAAAGATATCATACTTGGCTACCAAGGTGACATAGTTTAAAATGTTTTCTGATTCTGTGGTGTTATCAGGCCAACCAAAAAGGATATTCGGTGAGAGTTATTATGTTTTTATGTTTTTCAAACCACCAATTTTGAAATGCAGACCAGAAATTGGAAATTACAGAACAAAAATAAATAAGTGAGGCAATGTTTGCGGTTGCATATTTGCATAGCTGACGGATTTCAGACTCGCGTAGCTTCATACGGAAAAGGGAATGCCTTGTTGGAAGTATGTTGTGGATGATTTTATATTGAAAAATTTGAAGCTTTGTTTCGAGCGTGGTAACAAAGGGAAGGTTATAAACTTTCTTTAAGCATTCTNGAAATTACAGAACAAAGGTAAAATAAGTGAGGCAATGTTTGCGGTTGCATTTTGCATAGCTGACAGATTTCAGAATCGCATAGCTTCATACCGAAAAGGGAATGCCTAGTTGGAAGTATCTCGTGGATGATTCTATATTGAAAAATTTGAAGCTTTGTTTCGAGCGTGGTAACAAAGGGAAGGTTATAAACTTTCTTTAAGCATTCTTTCGAGAAACCATATTGAAGTGATTTTGGTTCAGTTTGGGGGTTGGAAGTAGTGGTCTATAATTGCTGCATAGACAGCACGGGTGGTGAAATTCTTAGACAGAGGAGGTTCTTGTGACGCGTTGTCATTTTCAATTGCGATTTCTGTGCGTTTGATTGTGTGTCTCCAGCTTGGTGGAATGGCGCTTATTAAACCATAGTAGGCTATAAACGGGACACGTAGCTGAAAGGTTCGTTGAAATTTGTCATGTGGTAAGAAGTTAAAATTTTCGTCAAGCAGGTCATTTATGTATATGATTCCAGTTCGATGCCACTGTTTTAAATAGATCATCTGTTTATCTATTAAAATGTGTTTATTGTTCCAGATAATTTCGTTTTGCTTGTGTTATACTTCTCAGACGAATAACTCTCCTAGTTAAATAAGAGAAAAATAAAACAAACCAACTTGACAGAATATAAAATCTACTCAATCTGTAATAAAGCGACCAACAATCTCAGCTCTCACAAGCACTTTATTTGTGAAAAGGCACACGAATTTAATGCGTCTCGTATTTACCTAGATGCACTTAATGTCGGACGAATTATGCGTCTGAGACACATCATTCGTCTTCTTAAGTAAATGCGGCCGTTGAGAACAAAAAAGGATTCTTCGTCATTCTGATTAACGGTAATGATGATAATTTATTTTATATATCGCCTTTTGCCAAGGAACCAAGGACACTCTACATTAATAGCCGTGGTTGGAAGAGGCCATTTTACCTAAAGAAATTCAAAATCTGCCTCGGAAAACTTAGTTTTTCGCGAGTAACCTATTTTATCGCGGGAAAGTTAACCGAGGTTTAAAAGCCATATGGGTTCCACTTCGTATAATGATCCAGGGCTTTTATTACTGAAATTTTAATTGAAAAGTTTATAATGCATACCTGGGAAAGTCTCTCAGATGATTAATAAACAAGAATGGCGGAGAGATATTTGTGCTTTATTCCCTCCTCGTTATACTTTCTTGCCGAATTCTAATTTCAATCATATCAGTAAAGGTGAATAGGGAGGATGACAACGGATGTATTTTCAGATCACTTTTATCAGGCTCACAATTTTTTTTTTATTTGCAAAAATGTACAAAATGAAAAACCACAAATTTCGACCCATGTCATGAAAATCATATGGTGTAACCAAGGCTAATTAATTAACCCAATCAAAACTTAAATTAAATAAATAATAATATAAAGACAAATGAATTGGAAATTCTTAGTGCAATGCAAACGGCAATCTGTTTCGTAATACATACCAAGTGAAGTCAATTCTGATGTAACTTTAAAGAATTTGACTGGCAATATTAATTCAATTTACTCGAAAGTTTTTCCCAGACATTCTATGCAATAAAATTACCATCTTGTCATAAATTTGATTAATAGATTTCTACTCGTATACTCATGCAAGCATTGCAATTAATCTGATTGGCGGAGCTATCGTAGGATATCAGTCACCGTCATGTGTTTTCTTGATTGGGTGAGCCATCATACGCTATCAGTCACGGCCATGTGTTCTCTTGATTGACTGAGCTATCGCACGCTATCAGCCACGGCCATGTGTTCTCTTGATTGGCTGAGCTATCGTACGCTATCAGACACGACCATATGTTCCCTTGATTCGAAGCTTCGATGGGAAGTTCAGAGACATTACTGGATGATTAAATTCACCGTTATTCCAGTCTAAAATCTCTGTATCTGTAGACTCTGGGACTGTAAAGTAATAGCAGGAAAAGTACATATATAAAAAGAGAGACGCCGATTCCGTTTAACCTCGCCTTTTGATCACTACAGCCCGTTGACACAAACACCACCTTGGCCCCTAACAAGAGCTCAGTTAATTTCATATCTAAAACTCTCGTTCACACGACCACGTCCTTAAAGAGACCTTTATTTTCTTTTCAAATTTACCTCGTTGGTGCTACAACTCGAGATTGATTTTTAAAATGGACACATACAAAATGAAACTGAAAAAACTGGAATGAGTCCCCATAAAATAAGTCAGTTGTGTTTAGGAAAATGCGAATAGAAATCAATGGGAGAGTCACAATTAGGCCAAGTTCAGACGCCGTACTTTACATGAGCCGAATTTAATGCTAATGAGGGAGAACAATGGATTTTTCTCATTTGCATTCGATTCGGCTCATGTGAAGTATGGCGTCTGAACTTGGCCTTAATTAGCTTTTTTCAGGCGTTCAGTTAGTTGGGGCGCAACCAAACGCGGTGCGGGACGGCCCCAAGCCTCTCTCTCTCCTTTCGTCGCTCCGCTGTATTTTCGCGCTACAAGCCAACTAACTGAATGCGTCCGTGGAAGAAGCTACAATTAAATTATATAAAGCTTTCATAGAGAGGTTTTTATTCGAGCGTCGTAAAGTAATTTGTTTTGCACTACTATGCTACATGATTGGCTTAAAAAACTCGCGCCACTTTTTCATCCAATCAGAAGTAAAACCAAAACCAAACGTGACTTACTCGCACAGGTTTTCCCGCGCTTTGCGTCAGCTATATGTAATAACTTCGAGTTTTGATTGGTTCACTGTATTGTCTGTGTCCTTTGTGATTGGCTGGCTTTATAACTTTGGTTTTGGTTTAACGACACTCAATTCAAAACCGCTCTAAATAAACTGTAGCCTCCACTTTGCGCGGAAACATGCTAGGATATTTGTCCGCGGACATTATCTGTTCCGAGAGCGTAGCTTGAGGAAAACTGAAAGCATTGAGGAATAGATAATGTCCAAGGACAGATATCCCAGCATATTTCACGCCAAATGAAGGTTATCGTGTTTATTATCCTTCAAATATTTTTCGCATCACTTGCTTAACTTAACTTAACATATGGAAATTTGTATATGAGTAATCATACGGTAACATGGAACGTTGAGAAAAAACACTGTTTAGTCTCAGTGCAATGCCACTACAATCTATAAAGTAGTCATCATACCGAGTTTTTGGAACAAGCATTTGACTTGCTCAATTTAGAATTTATTTTAATGGTATTACATGCAAGTACTATGTAATAAAATTAGTTTCCCATCATTTAAAATATGTAAAGTGCACGTGCAACGTAGATTACATGCATTTCGTGAATTGTTGTTGGTTTTCTAATTTAGGAAATGTTTATGCTACACTGATCACATTTATGGCCTAATTTTTACCCATTCCTACGACTAAAACAGTTTCATTTAAAAAACACAAAAATTTCAGTTCTGACTACAATAACTTTTAATAAGCATGAGCTTAAGTAGCGACAATCTCGATAATGAGAACTGATTAATTAAGACTGGGGCCTAGATACTTCCTCGATCATTATCCGGGACACTGATTCCCATCCAGTGTAAGCGTTACCCAAAGTATCGCCACTAGGACAAGATCCTACCCACAATTCCACACTAACCGTGCCTTGTGTAATGTTTTCACAGTATCCCTCAAATGATCGATGATGAAGCAGCTCGGGACTCCCAGATGGCCAACTGTTGTACACAACAGCTTCGATTGTCATTGGTCCACTGCATTCGTTACCATTAAACTTGAAGAACCACCGGTTACACTTACTAGAAGAACCATAGACTCTCATATTTCCCTGGAATGAGACTTTGATCGCTGTATCAGACTGCGACTTATTAAACGAGCAGTCCTGGAACAAACGAAAGTAAAACAAGTCAGAGCTCATACCAAAACATTTTTATCACATTTTGGCTTGATTTGTATCATTAACTGAGATTAACTGAACACCGATCATCAGTTGTTGGCTCCTTGGGAGAAAGTGTCAAGAGTGGTGTTAGCCAACACAAGCGCGAGGGGCGAGGCCCCGAGACGAGAAAGTGAGCCTGCTCTGATCTCTGCAAATTTTTCATTT